AAATTTTATTCAGACAGGACTAAAAAGTAGAAAATAAATAATATAAAAAAAACTTTTTCATATACAACGCTTTTATAAATGGACTAAAAAGTAGAAAATAATATTTCTCAGTCCCATAGAATTTGTTTTGATAACTTTTGATTTTGAAATTTTAGCAAAAGTCATTATAAACAATCTATGAAATTGAAAATGAAAAGCGTGGGGCGCATGTAATACACTTGAATTGATATGAAAAGTAATATATAAAAATAAATATATGCAAAATAGTTCGATTTTCATCACACCGCGTTAAACCATGACCATTTCGAGTAGAAGTTTATAGGTTGAAACGAATAATGAAATTGCCGAAAATACGGGAAAATCTTGTCCCGGCGGAATATTTTAAATTTAGTGCAAACCTCATCCCGGCAAATACGGAACATTTGGCAACGCTACAAGTTATTATCGTTATTATCTTTAATTCGACATACATATATTATCATGACCTACTTTTTGGTTTCAACAATTTAGTGTTAAAAAAATATAAATAAACAAAGCAAATAAATCTATTATACCTTCTCGTTGAAATCAGCGTAAAAAGTTCTATCAATCGGCATTTTTGGATATTTTATAGCTAAACGGTCGCTATTCTACACTTGCTCCAGAAAATTACGCAAACGAAGGTGATGCCAACGAATATTTAGTATGAAGAATTTTAGGTTTTACTAAAAATATAACTTGAAACTGTAGAATGAGCAACATTCTGCACAAGTAAGGAAGCCGATTTTATGTGTGGGAGCGTGAAGACTGTTTTATTACAAAACCTTTCTATTATTGAATCATGATATGTAAGTATGTATGTATATTAGTATGTACTCTACTCTGTAGTCAAATGTACTAGCTGTAAACTACCTCACAACTAGTATGAACCGCATGCCCAACTAGTCAGCCAACTATCTTTTTTCCATGCAATCAACTGGTATTTTTAACATGGGGATGTCCTACGAGATGGCAATTGTCAGATTTCGGTCAAAATTATACCAGTCTCATACTAGTTCAAAATAGGCAGAAAAATGCTAGTCCAATTATGGACCAAAACCACTACTTTGGCAGTCAAAAAATGAAATGAATTCATGAATATAGAATAAAAAACTTTTGATTAAGTGCACTTTAATATATTACACATTTTTATTTAGCAGCCTTAGATTTTCCAATAATTAGTGTTAAATTTTTTTAGTATTAATTAAAATCAAAAATAAATACATAAATATCCCAGACTTTCGAACATAAATTTAAATACATTTTTCATTAAATGTTATTAAAAGTAAAAGGTTTCAGGTACAATAAATACTATATTTTTATCTTAATAATTTTTAATACGCAAAAGAAAACATTTTAGTTAAAAATAAAATGAATACTTTAGTTCATTTTTGAACGATCTAAAATAGAAATAAAAGTGTTCATTAAAATAAATTAAATTCATTAACTTTGCACATTTTAGTATATTATTTTTAAAAATTTATAAAGGTAATAATTAATGTTTAAAATTTGAGGTTTGGATAATAATAAAATAAATAAATAGTTCTTAATTTTTATCCATTGTTCGGCTTGTTGATTGATAATAGAAATTAACAGATAATTATGTTAATCGTGTTATTAAAAAAAGTCAAAAATAATTGAAAATTATCAAAAACAACAAAATAATAATGTAATTAAAATTAATGATTTAATTAACATTTTTTTCAGTAATTAATTATTAATCATTAAAAAGGTGGTAATATCGGTATGTAATCATTAAACGGTTATCCAAAAAACATGCTTTAATCAATAATCATTATGAATATTTATCATTATTTAACAGGTCTGGTATAATTGAACACGTACTCGATTTATTGGTTAAAAAATATACCCAAATAAAAGTTATAATATTTTGTGTACTTTATTGTATTAAACTGTAGAAGTCAAATAAAACATGGCATGACTAAATCGTTTTGTACTTGGCACAAGTCTGATCATTTTCGAACTAGTTCGGTTTCTGTCAGGAAATTCTAGTTGTAAACTAGAATTTTTCCTGACTAGTTTGGGGTTTCGCTGCAAGATAGCTATCTTTAATAAGGAATAACGGCATCTAGTGCCCGCCAGATGACGCGTGCAGCGCATTGTTTAGTTGCTGCTGCATCCACTGCTTAGTAGAGGTCGCTGTATGTTTCCGGCATAAATTTGAAACTTTTCCAATACTATACTACTTAATAACTTAACAAAACTACTTATACTACTTAATAACTTTTAAAAATCCTGCAGTAAATTTAGAGACAGTCCCATATAAAATATGTGCATGGAAAACTTTGAGCTCTTTGCGCACTTTGTAAATATTTTTTTAATTCAAAATAAAACAATAGGGGTATATTTTTCAGTATAGAACAATCCTTGGGGGTGGTGGTATTGAAATTCCGACTTTACTTTTTTTTTGACCACCCGAATATATGTAATCAGTGCGCGCTTCTACTCCGCCGCGCCTGGGTTCAAGCCCTGGTCAAAAGCAACATGGAAAAAATATAGAAAAAAAGTTTTTTCTTAACAGGAGGTCGTTCCTCGGCAGGCAATGGCAAACCTCCGAGCATTTTTCTGCCATGAAAAACAGCTTCTCATAAAAATACGATCGCCGTTCGGAGTCGGTGTAAAACTGTAGATCTCTACATATGTGTACGCGCCAATCTATTATTAGTATTAATATATGTACATCAGACTGCATCAGCAAAAAAAAGTTACGGTTTTTCCGGCGGGATTACAAAATTTATTATATTTCAAAACGTCCACCAAAATATTTCGGAAAAAATATTAAGACTTAAGCGAACTTGGCCGATTTGAAAATGCCTCCAAAAATGCAGTTTTTTATGAATAAAAATAGTTTCTTAAAGAACTTTTTGAAAAAGTTCCCTTAGATGACAAATCAGATTAGGCTTAAAACATCTGCATAAAAATCTTTTCTACGGACTCGTAATAATGAGAGTTTTGGTGCTGTTTTTTTTTGCTTTTTTCAAAGATTGATTTACGAAAAACTTAAATAACTTGGCCAAAACTATCCTGATTTAGACTTATGCGATTTCGGTGCACAAAAGTCATTCGTGTCCCACTTTTTTTTTTCAAATACCAACACATCTTAATTCAGCTTTGAATGATGTTCGTTTATCCTACCTTTCTCTTTCATCCTTTGAATGAGCTTATTAGCAAAGAAATAAAAAGGCTGAGAAAATACCTTTCCAATGATACCTCACAAGTCTAAATCGGAAGAGTTTAGGTTCAGTTATTCAAGTTTTTCTTATACCAATCTTTGAAAAAAGTTAAAAAAAACAGCATCAAAAATCACATTATTACGATTCCGTTAAAACTTTTTTTCATTTTTTTTAATATTTTTATGTAATTTTTTTTAAGCTTAAACCCTTTTGTCATTTGAGGGGATTTTTTCAAAAAACATCTTTAAGAAACTATTTTTATTCTTAAAAAACTCCATTTCTGGAGGCATTTACAAATCGGTCAAGCTCGCTTAAATCTTAATATTTTTCCGAAATATTTTGGTGGACGTGTTGGAATATAATAGATTTTATAATTCCAATGGAAAAACAGTACCGACTTTTTTTTGTATGGGGAGTGATGCAGTCTATTGTACATACATTAGAGTGGTCCAACGAAATTTCAAAGATAGGGTGGGGTACTTTCCAAAATGTTTCCTCTTGCCGAAAGAGGTGCTGGTATCACACCTTACGTTTCTATGTATATATTTAGATGATGCTCATGATGACCATTTTTTACTCTAGAATTATTGTGTACATATATTAAAAATTGGACCACTCTAACATACATACATATATACATACTTTTTAAAAATTGGAGTTGACATTTATTATACACATTATGCGTGTTATTTCTTTACCGGCACCCTGTTTTTATATCCAACGCAACTGCTAACTGTTCTTATGTAGACTTTCTTTCCAATGCATTTGCTGTGCAGGCACCCGGCACTTTTGCTTTGTGTGCGGAACGTCAGTCAATTTCGGCTAAAACGCGCTAAAGCGCGGCAAATAATTGTGTCGATCAGGAAAAGCAAATTTAAATATTTTTATGTGGTTTTATGTGTAAAAGTAACTCAGTCTATAAAAAAATTTGAATAATTTGTGTAAAATATTGTGTAATAGAAGTTATATTATTAAGTGAGAAAATAAAAACAGAAAAATATTTAACTATAAAGCGTATTTAGACCGATCGCTGGCATTAATAATATTTTAAAAGGGCGTTCAATGTGAGTATACATGAAAAATTTTTTTAATAATTCTTTTTAACGTAAATTTTATGGAAAAAATCAAATAAAGTTTTGTACAAGAAATTCTTTAATATCGATTTTTTGGATAAATTGGTTCCGATTTCGTCCGAACCGGAAATTTATAATTTATGTATAGCGAATTATGCACTGGAAAATCTACATATTTGTGGCATTTTGATAACACAGCTTATCTCGAGTTAGGTCAGTTTCGCTTTGAAGCAATATTAAATTGGGTGCCCGAACAATATTTCAACCATTAACTAGCTATATGTGTTTTTTATGATGCCCCTTTTTGACAAGCTTAATAAAAATTTAAATTTTTTAAAGAAAAGTGACTCTGTTTTTAATCTAAAGTCAAAACTTCTAAAGTCACTTAAGTGGTTTTAAAAAAAATGTCACAGTTAGGTATACTAGTTATATATGTGCGACAACAAGCATATTTTCAATTATAAATAGAAAGTTTTATGAAGTGATAAAAAAGCATATATTAAAAAAATAAAAAAGGAAATAAAAAGTTTTATGCACTCCTAAAAATTTGTTAGCTAACCTAAAATTCTTAATTCGTCCGATATCTCAGCCATGTGATTGCGGCCGCTCTGCTTTCATCTTTTTATCTTTCACTTTATGTACTTCAATTGCTTTTCCGCTCTCTTAATCGTCAGCTGCATTTTACTAATTGTTTCTCTCCATTCCTACGCTGCAGGGCAAAAGCCTTCCGCTTACCGTTACAAAATGTGCGGAAGAAATTACAGCCAGCCGTCGCTGCACCCAACTGCATTGTTAATTTTGTTGTCGTTGTGCTCATTCTGTTGCCGCCATTTTTCGCACGCGCTTCAGAGTTCCACCATTGCGGTGCCGATCACTTCGAGTGCCGAGACGGAAGCTGCATCTTACAGGAGAAGATGTGTGATGGACGTCATGACTGTCTAGATAGCTCGGACGAGCTCGATTGTGGTAAGTGGTGTTTAACTCTTCAAATGGCATTCCGCCAAAAACTCATTTCCTCATAAACAAATCATTGCAGAGAAGAAAATGTGCCGCAAACCTAATTGGTTCCAATGTGCCAAACCCAATGGCCCCTGCTTGTCATCGGAACTGATTTGCAATGGTGTCGAGAACTGCCCTGGCGGCGAAGATGAATTGGACTGCGTCAGCTCGTCTTCAAGGTGGTCGTCGTCCTCGCTGTGGATCAGCGGTGGCGCTGGCAGGGCAAGTTCAGCGAGCGCTGATGTCGGCACGGGCGGCTGGCATTCGTCAAAACGGAATTGCAGCACTTTCGAGTACACCTGCCGCACGGATAAGACTTGCATACCTTTGGATTTTATGTGCGATGGCAAGAGCGATTGCCATGATCGTTCCGATGAGGTGGATGGTTGTGAGCGCGCCAGAACGAATTGCATTGGTTTCTTTTGCGACAATAAAAAATGTCTGGAGAGTAAAAAATGGATTTGCGATGGTGTTGATGATTGCGGCGATGGCAGTGATGAACGGAAATGTGGTAAGGGTTTCGTTATAAATATCCAGAACTCCATTTAATCGCTATGGCGGATTGTAGGTTTCAATTGCACACTGGAAGCGGGCCAGTTCTTGTGTCACGACAACTCCAGCTGCTTATCAATCGATGCAGCTTGCAATGGTAAGGCGGAGTGTGCGGATGGTAGTGATGAGTCACACCTATGCACCACAACAACCAACAATTGCAGCACAAAAGCATGTCCGCCGGCGTCGATATGCAGAATGTTACCCGAGTCGGGCGCGCAGTGTATTTGTCCCAAAGGTTATCGTATGTCAGCGGTAGAGAATGTTTGTAGAGATATCGACGAGTGTTCGGAGATTTATGGTCTGTGCTCGCAAGGTTGTACGAATACGCGCGGTTCGTATCGTTGTACCTGTGATGAGGGCTATATACTAAAGGCTGATAATAGCACTTGTGAGGCATATGGCGGTGATCCGCTTCTGCTCTACACCACTCAAATGGCTGTGATGGGCGTGCATTTGCGTGATAAGTTCGTCTATGCAGTGGCAAAGAATTTGACCAAAGTAATTGGTGTCGCATTCGATGGGCAAAACATCTATTGGACGAACATACAGAATGAGGCGGAGAGCATAGTAAAGGCAAATGTTGATGGGACCAACCATGAAATACTACTCACCTCAGGATTGGATGCACCAGAGGACTTGGCAGTAGATTGGCTAACAGGTTAGTGAATGTAAACTTTGATTGTGGTAGTAGTTTGAAAATCGTAATTTTTTATCTATATTTTTTCACATAAGAATAATGGTTAGATTTGGAGATTTAGTTTTTTCGGTAAAATTTAATCGGTATTTTGTAATTTTTCTTTGTTTTATCAAAGATAACACAGGTCCACAAAAAAAAATCGATGAAGGTTCCTTTGACCAAACTTAGTCTATTACATGTTTGTGGGCTCGCTGAACCCGAATCTGAAGTCCGTTTTGCTCCATCACGTCTGCATTTTTTTCTAACCTCAAAAAACATCTCGGATTTTACGTGACAGAGAAAATCCGAGGTGTTTTTTGAGGTTAGGAAAAAATCTAGATGTGATGACTTCAGCGACCCCAATAATTTTTTTCGTCTCGCGGGTCGTTTATTTCAAGATGAAAATGATTTACGTCTTCTCTTAATAATTATATGGGAATTTTATTGAAATGAAACTTTTTAATTGTCATCAAATCTGCGTCGATGGTTCGATTTTCAAAAATGAGGTGTCAAATTAGAGGGATTTGCTTCTACGTGGTTTTAGTTTTTTTAAGGGTTGCCAGATGTTAGCAAATAAAAATCCAATAATCGAGCTCGGAGATATAACTACAACAACAACAACAACAACAACAACAACATATAAATAACGTCCCGAGAGACGAGAAATATATAAATCCCATATAATTATTATGAAAATACGTAAATAATTTCCATCTGGCAATAAACGTCCCGCGAGACGAAAAAAGATATTTCTCGTAAATAATTATTATATAAAGACGAAAAAAATTTACCTTAAAACAAGGCGAGGTTTTTGATCCCAAGTATTATTTGGGGTCTCTGATTAATACCACTGTACGGCAAAATCAACTTTTTTTATTAGACCAAACCAATTTTATTTAAGAAACTGAGTCATAGGTATAACAGGGGTTTCTCCATTTTTCGAAGTTAGCCTCCGTAATCGAGATATGGGCCTTCGAAGTTCGAAATAGGACCTTTTGCTTTTATATTAATGGTATATAACTTTTTTTGTGCAAACTATATTACAGGTGCTATATGGGGTCAAAGTTCAGCAAACAATTTTGAACTGATTTTCAAAAAATTTATATCGTTGTTAAGGCGATTAAATCCCCTTTCTTCCGATATGCATGTTTGTATACTTCGCATATAAAAATTTTAGAAAAAACACATTTAAATGAAAAAATATTTTATAAAAAAAAATATTTTAAACAAAAAAATTAATAACAGTTTATAAAAAAAATGGTGTCGTTATAAAGACGATTAAATCGCCTTTCTTCTGATATACATGTTTGTATACTTCCTATATAAAATTTTGAGAAAAAACACATTTAAAGGAAAAAATACCTTTATTTTATAAAAAATTAAACAAAAAAATTACTAACCGATTTTTGAAACGATAGTAGCGTTTTAAAGGCGATCAAACCCCCTTTCTTCCGATATGCATATTTGTGTACTTCGTATAAAAAATTTAAGTAAAACCACATTTAAAGGAAAAAATATTTTTTTTTTATAAAAAAAATATTTCAAACAAAAAAATTACCGACCGATTTTTAGACAATTGCTACCGATGCAAAGGCAATTAAACCCCCTTTCTTCTGATATATATATTTCTATACTTCGTATATAAAAATTTGAGAAAAACGCTTAAAATAAAAAATACCAATTTTTTCATACAAAAAATATTTTAAACAAAAAAATTACTAATAAGTTATGCAGTTAAATACTTTATTTAAATAAAACAGAACATTTACTTTTCTTTTATATATAACCTGTTATGTAAAAGGGTGTCTTTATATTTTTATATGCCTCAGACTTTTGTTACATATAATTTTGCTTTATTTTTAACAGGGCTGTCGGTGAACAAGAACGAATTAATATTTAAAACTCTATTAATTATTGGTTTTATTTAAATACGGTATTCAGTTGTATTACTAATTAGTAATTTTTCTGTAAATTTTTTTTTTATAAGAAAAAATTTTTATTTTTTCCCTTGAAGTGTTTTTTCTAAAATTTTTATATACGAAGTATACAAATATGCATATCACAAGGGGGTTAAATCGCATTTACAACGCTATGAGGCGGACCACGTCTTAATTTTTACTTTTTTTGACTTTTATATACAATAATTAAAAATAATTTTTTACCAAAGGTCCAATTTCGAACTTCGAAGGCCCATATCTCGATTTCGAAGGCTATCTTCGAAAAACGGAGAAATTACTTTTTTTACTTATGACTTAATCTCTTAAAAAGGAGTTAGTTTGGTCCAATACCCAACCGAGTGCTGCACAGCGTAATTTTGTCAGATGCCTACAGCCTTAATACTTTTAATCTTTCATATGAAATCAATTGTAATTTTTTTACAAGGTGGCAACTCCATTTAAAAGTTTTGTTGAATTAAATTTATTTATTTATTTATTTGAGCCTAGAGGATAAATACATATTTTAGCAGGGTCTCTTTGTCGGCTCTCCCGGCTACCGTCTTGAAAAATGTTCTCCTGACACCGTGCTGAGAAGGAGAAAAGATCACCAAACGTGCCTTCCAGCATCATGGGGCGAATTCGCCTTGGGAATTTGGCGCCATCTACGTACACGTCGATCTCTAGCTTAATGGTGAAGGTGTGACGATGGATTTTGGGACGGAAACGTTGAGGTCACCATTATCGTGCAATCGTCTGCATCGCTCAGCTGTCGGCCGAGGTAGTTTCGTCATGTTAAGGTCAACGTCAGGTAGATCATGCTCCTGACCGAACCCCCCATTAATTCTATTGGAGTTGGCGTCACGAAGTTCAACTCACACTTGACGTCCACAAAGATAACCAGATATCGATTCTACGACTCTCGGAAGTCTACCCTGCTAAGAGTGGCGTAGAGATGACCACGTTATGCCTATTCGGAAGATCATTTCTGCATACTTTTGATCTTATTGCTTTCAAAGCCGACTGGTTATCGACGAAAATAATGGAATTTCAAGCGGAAACCTCTCCATTTAGTAGAAGACGATCTGGTCCTTCGAATAGAGACCGTCGCCGATTCCGTACAATATCTTTGACTTCTCTGATAGTAATACCACTATCTTCCACTCGTAAGCCTACGTCACATTCTTCTCTGTTAGAAAACCGCGTATGTAGGTCTCCTCATATTGAAGTCCCAAACTGGTGTAGTATAGTCAGTGAAAGGGTCTAAGTAAACTTTTATTCTAAATATTAAACAAAGTTGGTTGGTTTTCACATGTTAGCTTCCCTGAGTCTGAAGGCCACATTGCAGTCGCACTATAAACGAAAATGTTCAGCAGTGGCAGGTAAAAAATCATACTAAGCCCCTCCAGGGGAGCGACACTCAACGTTCCCGATATGCTGAAGTATGTGAGCCTGTGGTCTTTCTCAATTAGTGCCCTGTTGTTTGCTTTGATTAGAGCTTTCCAACAGACTAGGGCCCTTTGCAGAAAGTACCTTATTTACAGTAAGCGTCCATAAGGAATCTATAGAAATCTTTACAAAGCTTATCCAACGGGCTATGTTTTGGTCGTAGCTGATCTAACCGTTCGTTCGTTCACTTTCTTTCTCTTTCCCTCTCTCGCTTTTCTTACTCACATTTCTTGCTCACTTTATTCCCGTGCTGTCCTAACACTTTCCAGGCAACATCTACTTCTCGGACAATACCCTGCACCACATCGCTGTTTGCTCCAATGATGGCCTCTTTTGCACTGTGCTCGTAACCATGGATGTACATCAGCCGCGTGGCGTTGCGCTCTGGCCGCAGAGTGGTCAAATGTTCTGGACGGATTGGGGCGTGAAACCGATGATTGCGCGGGCATCTATGGATGGCAGAAACTCGTTGCCATTGGTTACCGACGACATACACTGGCCGAATGGTATTGCCTTGGATATGCACAATGATCGCATCTATTGGGTTGATGCCAAGTTGGCGACCATGGAAAGCATACGACCCGATGGCACTGATCGACGTCGCATACTCGACGGTATAATGAAACATCCCTACGGCTTAGCCATCTTTGAAGATAATATCTACTGGTCCGATTGGGGCACAAAGAGTGTACATAAGTGCAATAAATTCACGGGGAAGGGCCATCAAGTAGTCACTAAAGATCGCACCATCTACGCTGTGCATATCTATCACTCCGCTAAGCAGCCTAAGACTAATCACGCGTGCATGCGCATGCGTTGTTCACACCTTTGTTTGCTCACCGAAAACAATAGTTCCACTTGCGCTTGTCCTGATGGCATGCAGCTGGATGCCTATCGTTTGCGTTGCGTGAAGACACACAAAAAACAGCGACTCTTCATTGCTATAAAGAATTCACTGCTCGAGATGGAGCACACAAAGTTTGGGCGGCATACCATCCTGGAGACGCATCAGCTGCCGCTTTACATCAGCGAAATGGCTTACAATAATGTAAATGAAAAGGTGATCATTGCCGATAATGTGCAACGCACGATCTTTCAGTACGATATGCTGACCAACAACATATCGGTGTTGGCACGCGAGAACATCGGCAATATAACGGCCATCGCATTTGGTAAATTTTAAATTCGTTTGTGTTTCGAAAACTGTTCATAAATACACAATACCACCGTTCACAGATCACCTAGCGCACAATGTTTACTGGACCGATGCGGAACGGCATGTGGTGGAGGTGTACTCCATGCAGACGCGACAACGCGCTTTGGTCAACTTCTTCGCTGGGATGGAGGTGCCAATAGCGCTCGCTGTGATACCAGAAGATGGGTAAGTTCCTTACCGCTATTCACTTGACTATTCAAAGCATTTTTTTTATTAAAATCATCTCACTCCACAAGTGTAATGTTTGTGGCGCTACGTACACGCAAGTACGTCCACATAGACCAGCTACCACTTAGCGGCCGCGGACCACACTCGCACGCTTTTGAGGACGAGCTCGGCGATGACGACATCCGATTTGTCACTGACTTCGAGATGAAAACTCTTTACTGGTCCGATAGCGAACTTGACCGCATCTCCTTCACCGACTATCGTAATCTACACGATTTCACTTTCCGTACACGCCTTAAGCGGCCGTACTCACTGGCACTGGTCGAAGACGATATCTTCTGGACGCAACTTCGTTCCTCCGCCATACACTGGACGCACAAGAACAATTTGGGCACAGTGAAGCGCGTAGAAATACAAGTCGCGCAGCCAGCGTTCGCACACGCTTTACCCGCACGCATTCCACTATTGGCCAGCCAGCCAGTCTCCACCGAAGATCATCCCTGCCAGCATGGAAATGGTGGTTGTTCGCATGTTTGTGTGACGGTTACAAAATTAGTCAGCGCCTGTTTATGCCCTGCGGGTCTAGTCTTTCGTGATATGACCAATAGTACTTGCATCGAAGCGATAGACTGCGAGTTTCGTTGCCGTTCAGGTGAGTGTCTGACACAATCGCGACGCTGCAATGGTCGCAGAGACTGCCCCGATGGTTCGGATGAGTTGGGTTGCGATCCGGCTAGCGTCAAGCTGCACAAAGTTGTGTGTGCTATTGGCGAGTATGCGTGTCACGATGCAACACAGTGCGTAAAAATGGAGCAGCGCTGCGATGAAAAGAAGAATTGTCGCGATGGCTCGGATGAGACACACTGTGAGAAATTTGGTTGGTTGTTTTTGAAATATACTACAACAGACTTTAGAACGAACTAAGTATTCAATATTTTAGATAAGGACAAGCGCTGTCACATGCATCAACATGCCTGCGACAATGGCAACTGTGTGGATTTGAGTGTATTGTGTGATGGCGCAGATGATTGCGGTGATCGCTCGGATGAGGCCAATTGTAAATCGAATCATGATCAGCAGACGGCGGATATGCCTGTTTGTGCATCGGACATGTTCCAGTGCAACACAGGTACTTGCATTGCACAGAGCTGGGAATGCGATGGAAAATTGGATTGTACGGATGCCTCGGACGAACACGAAAAATGCGGTAAGAATGGTGTACGGCACGTAATACCACGAGGTTTTGAAACAATAAACAAAATTGTGGGGCGTAAAATTTTTTGATCAAGAAGAGGTGCCGAAGGTTTTTATTTCCTGGGTATTCCTTCTCTGATAATGGAGAATCTTGGAGTAATCGAACCTGCAGAGCTGTAGAAATCTCACCATTATTTTCTGCTGAACTAGTTTCAAGAACTCACATCATCCTCTTTCTTTCAACACTTTAGGCCTTAAGGAATGCCCAACCGACATGCACAAATGTATGCTTGGTCAGTGCATTGATCGACGTCTGGTCTGTGATGGACACAATGACTGCGGTGACTACTCGGACGAGCTGAATTGCGACTTCGCTACAGGAAAACAAAGAAATCTGACTTGTGGCTCAGCCGAAAACCCTATGTATCGGTGTCCTAGTGATGCCAGCATATGTCTGGAGTTGGGCGCACGTTGTAATGGCACCACAGAGTGTCCGCGCGGCGAGGATGAGGAAAAGTGTGGCACGGTTTGTAGCATCTACGAGTTTCAGTGCAAGTCTACTAAAGAATGTATACGCATGGAATTTCGTTGTGATCGCGACAAGGATTGCGCTGACGGTTCTGATGAACTGAACTGTGAACATTACAAAAATTCAACCACGGTCGGTATGATGACAACCAAGCTGAATGAACGGCCTTGCGGACCGAACATGTTCGATTGCAAAGATGGACAGTGTGTGGAAATGTCGCGTGTGTGTAATAATTTCGATGACTGTGATACGGGCGCTGATGAGGGACCTCTCTGCGATACTGCCTGCAGCGGTTTATCGAATAGACCATTTTGTACGCACAAATGCCGTCCAACACCTATGGGTGCGGTTTGCTCATGCTTTCCAGGCTATCGCTTGGACGTGGATCATCGCACTTGTATCGACGTGAACGAGTGCGAGGAAAGTGAACCATGTGCGCAACTTTGTGAGAACACACATGGTTCGTATCGCTGCAAGTGCTATCCGGACTTTATGTTGCGTCCCGACAAGACCACCTGCAAATCGATTGAAAGTCAGTCGACACTAATGTTCTCCACCTACAATGAAGTGCGCAGCATGACAGAGCAGCCAATCACTTTGCGAGTCGCTTGGTCGGTAAATGACTCAAAGATCTCGGGCTTCGATTTGAACGTGCACAAACGAATGGCTTACTTTACCACCGATGTGGAGGATGTGTTATACAAAGTGGACATGGATAAGGGCGAGGTGAAGTCTGGGCTGTGGGTGCAGACCCCCACAAAGGTGGCGGTAGATTGGATCACAGGTGAGAAAGTTTTGATAAATGCGCCGGTAAGTCTTTTGTTTACATTTCAACTTTCTCCCACACAGACAATGTCTATGTCATTACGCGCGCTGGGCAGTACGGCATCAAGGTGTGCTCGTTTGAGGCAAGGATGTGTGGCCTGATAGTTCAAGCCAACCCGCGCGAAACTATACGCGCATTGGCTGTAGACGCACTCAGTCGTCGGCTCTTTTATGCCACCGTGCGCGCAGAAAGCTTTAATGAACCTATTACCGAGATCAACACGGCCCACTTGGATGGCAAGAAACATGTGACACTGCTACTAAAGCGCGGCGGTTATATCACCGCCTTAGCCTGCGATCCTTACAAGCGTGAACTCTACTTTGTGGACATGCACACAAAAACACTGCAAGTATTTGATTATCGCCCGAGCAGTTCGGGTGTGCCGCGCACTATTATACAAAAGGGTAATGTAGTTATGCATCCATCTGGGCTCACCATCTATGAGAATCAAGCGTTTATTGTGAACATCGGCTCCAAGGAGGCAGTGCACTGTCAGCTTTTTGGCGCACACACCTGCAAAGCCTTCAACTTGAACATACTCAACGCCGAAGATGTTGTGGTAGACGGCGCAACGCGACAACCACACGCCACTAACCCTTGTGACATGGCCAAGTGTCATGGTATGTGTGTGCAGGCCGATTACGGTTATGAGTGTATGTGTGGCGATGCTTTTGTTGGTGAAAATGTACGCTGTCCGAAAGAAGCAACTAATGAGATACTGTCCAGTGCTTTGCTTAACGATGAGGGGTACTCGGACCACCATGAGTCGACTCCACATGCTGCGGTTACAATTATTTTGATTTTGTTGCTCTTAGCTATGCTTTGCACCGGCGTTGGGTACTTGTACTATCGTCGCGTCTCTCAGGGTCATCGTGATTTCAATATCAACCTGCATTTCCAGAATCCATTATCTGCATTCACCAGCGTCGGTGTCGGCGGCGGTAAATTTGCAGGCAGCATGCAGCAGCAGAGCGGCATCAGCAGCACAACCGCCTCTTTTGACGGAGACACACACAGCAACGGCGGCAGCGGAGGTACCGAGAAAAAGCAATATATTTCGCCGATTTATAGATTCTTGCGAAATTCCAGAAACGACTCGCTTTCGGGTGCGGAGATTCTTCTCGAGGCGTCAGCGGTAAGTAAAGTGGACTGTTTTCTTAATAAATTTTTTAAGTACTTAAGTCAGTATCCGATAAAGACTTTGATAAGCCGAAATAATTGGAGTTGTGACTTTGTTTGATCTGTCTACTGTCATTTAATGTACCTATATATAGCTTGCCCTGCGAATTCTTATTTTGCGGCCGTTGTTGTAATGATATTACTTAGGCCTTTAGGGTGAGCGAATTGCTATATATATTTCTTAGTTTTGGAGAGACCAGTGTGAAATCTTTATTCGGGTTCTTAGCGAGTCCTTAGCGAGTAAATATTTTATTTTTCGGTAATTTTTTATAAAAATATGGTCAATTCTACAACATAAAACCCAAAAATCAGGGTTCCGAACCTTGTGCAAAATTAAAGAAAATTCCGCAAAATTTCATTCAAATATTGCACTTTTTATTTACGCTCTCTTGCAGTATGCAGTTTTTTAGCCCATTCAATTGTAGTATAACGAAGTGCAAGTTTGTGGAGGCTAGGACTTACCATTGATTTTTAGGAATTTTTTTTGTTGAAGGTGTCGCTCATTTTCTCCATATAAAATAATGTTTGATAATTTTTTTATATGGATAAAATGTGCGACAAATTCAACAAAAAAATTTCCCAAAAATCAATGGTAAGTCCTAGCTTCCTCATACTTGCACTTTATTATACTAAAATTGAATGGGCTAAAAAACTGCATACTCAAATTTTTTCTAGCGAGCGTAAATAAAATGTGCCATATTTGAATGAAATTTTGCAGAATTTTCTTTAATTTTGCACAAGGTTTGGAACTTTTCTTTTTGGGGTTTTTGTTGTAGAATTAACCAAATTTTTATAAAAAATTTGCGAAAAATAAAATATTTAAAAAATAGTTGCCCCTATTGTAAAAAATTCGCTGTACCTAAACTTTATTGACTGACTGTACATAATTGTTGCCCGCACAATGCATAATTGACACCTACAGTCATGTGAAAAATAATAGGGCCACGACATTTTGACCAATTTTTGGCATTTTTCTTTTGTTTGTTTAATGTTTATTATTTTTTTATAAAAATACAAACAGAAAATTAGAAAAGTTTCACAAAGCCGATTAAATTCTAATGCTAGTTTCAAGTGGGTAAGAATTTTTGTTGATTTTTGACAATTTTTTGGCCGATGGTGTTATTACTTCTATACACTTTGTATGTATTATCCAAAAAGCAGCACGAATTTTTAGCCATACTAAACTTGCACTTGTTTAAGCAAACTTACTACTTTTCTTAAAACGCTTAATAAAAAGTTTGTTGTTCTAAAATCTTTTTGCGTTTTTCTATCAAGTTTGAAATTTAGACTTATTTGGTTTTTGTTAGATAATGAGTTAAATTTGTATAAAAAAAAATATTAACATTAAACATACAAGAGAAAAATAGTCAAAACTGGTAAAAATTCATTGTCTCTATTATTTTTCACATGACTGCACTTTCGGCAATATTTTTTTTAATAAATAGTTCTACTGGAATAAACGAAATTTGTACTTTCTGAGCAATAGTTTAATGATTTTTGGTGCGCTTTAATTTACTGACATTAGGGTGATACAGTATGGTGTAGAACAAAGTACTTGTGGTCAATGAACTTTGAAACACAAAGAAATTTATCTCCTCGAGACAAAAATATCGATTTGTCAAACTTAAAGATCAGACTGTAAATGCCTAAGTTATGGCGAAAAATATAAAAAGGCGACTTTCAGCCAAACAATTTTTTTTTTCTAAATTGCATTGCAAAAATACTTTAGACTCAGGGGAGTACGGCGAACATTTTTTTCCGGCACAGTCTAGTGTATATCTTTCTTGAAGTATGAGAATAGTGCAGAGAATTATCTCCGTATTTGTCCGACTTTCGCCAAACTGAGATGGTGCATTTTTAGGGAAAATGTTCTCAGAATGTAACAGTGTAACAGCTACACTCTCTGTTCCTCGACACATTACTAAGGTCCATAAAAGGGGCTGGTAACTTTGCAGAGGAGTAATGATTTCTCAATCCCATCTGCGTTTTCATATCCTCTTAGCTCTTTCTCTAGGCACTTCATAAGTGCAATGGGTTTGAGCGCTTGGAAAAATCACTCTTGCGTTTTGCAGGATTCTGCAATCACATTTCATTCCAACCCATTCACTTAATTTCTCCGGCAGGATCATCACTGAATACAAAATTTACATCTTAGTCCACTTTAATACAAAGCCAAACGAGTCAAGGTGTTTCAAACTCGTAAGATAAAATAACTTTATGAATAGTAAGACATTACCGCTTCTTAGCTACTACTTTTAATGAAAGTTCAACAAATCCTTTCTCTGCTCTTCTAAGCGCTTTCTGTCCACGCATAGGCTTTATGATACTGCTAAAGGTGAATCTCCACAGTCTTTTATTCGATTGTTGCTGTCGACGCTCCAACTACATATGTCTCTCGCGTTACAAATTTAAGGTTTTTTACAAGTCAAATCGGCGTTTTTTGCACTTGTTGCAATTAAGTATTATTATTGATTGCGGCGCCACCGAATTTTAGAAGCCAGTGTTATTAATATTTCGCGATTCTCACTAAACCTAAAACTTTTTTTTTCAGCCACCCGACGAAACAGACGGGTTGGCGACATCTCAACGAGCAGCCCGCAGTGCCCTGGTGGAGACAGAATCTTTTTACACCGCCGCTGATACAATCCGAGTTTCACATGATGATGATGGCGCAAGAGCGAAACATGTCGCCTAGATAAGGAAATCACTTTTTCACTTCTTACATACAAATATTCGCATACATAGTATATCTTTGATTAATTAATTTTGTAATCATTTGTAGTTTTGCATGTTTCATGTTGTCATTTATGGTAGTTATTTGTATTTATTATCTACTGTAAAAAAGGTATTAGTGTATATAAAAAGAAATCATAAGTCAGCGAAAATTCTAAAAAAAAGGCCAATCCCTATGTACATATGTATGTATGCATAGAAGAATTATTTTCAACTTCACATTTATAAGTATGTAAATTAATAAAGCTAGATTTGGTTGGTTGGTTGATTCGATAGTTGAAATGTTTTTTAGAAAAGAAATGCTTATTGGTTGTTGTTAATTGCAAAACGTAATGTCAAACTTTGTATTCTGCTGTAATATTATGTCCGAAATAAAAAACAAATCACATTTTCAAAAATAGTGGTTTTCTAACTTAGCATGTCGTTTGACTTATAAGGTACAAAATTACTTGACGGAAAAACTCCTGATTTCGAACTAAAACTTGGCTGAAATTTTTTTTTGAAAGTCATTGAAGGACTTTGGCAGTTTGTCGATAAATTTAGATAATTTGATACATATCGATAATTCAATGAATTTCCAAGACACTAAAATCTGATAACTCAAAAAATTCGATAATTCAACTAATTTCGATAACTGCGATTCAAGGGCGGATAAATTTTGATAACTCGAAAATGTATATATGTATCTCGATAAATCGATAAACTTTAGATACCTCTAGAAATATCGATAACCTTCGATAAATTTTGAAAGCTTCATATTTCTCGAAAGCCATCGAGAATTTTAATAATTCGTTACACTCTGTTATCACGATAAAATACGGTAAGCAGTTATAACTCGATAAACTTATATGACCTTGAAATTTCGATAACTCGATATATTTTTAAAATTGCATAAACTTCGATTCAATAAATCGACCAATTTCAGTAAATCAATAAATATCGATAGCCTATTGCTTGAAAGAAGTCTATGCGTTACGATAAGTTGATAAATTACGTTAACTTTTAACAAATTTCGATAATCCCATACATTTTCACAGCTCGATAATTATTCGTAACTCAATAAACATTGATCAATTTGAATAATTCGCTACGTTGGGATAACTCAATAAACATGGATAACTCGATAAAATTCGATAACTATAAACTTCGAGGATTCGATAAATTTCGGTAATTTGATTACTTTCGATAACTAAATTTTTTATGATTGAGTTTATTTCGATTCCTATCTAAAGATTGCAATACATTTTCTTACGCTTTCAATTTCTTTTATTGTTTTGTATTTCTCATTGTTTTAATTTTCGTCTTTATCTTCAATTTTGCCTTAAGTTTTTGTCTTAATTGTTATCATTTATTTCTCCATCATCACATTTATCTTCATTATAAAGATGGATTTTAACACAAATTGAATAAGTTGCCATGACAACCAATTTTGAAACCATAAAAACTCTCTACAGAAAATTATCTTTCCAATAGCGTTCTTGGTTTTGAAAACGGTTTGGTAAAATCGCCAAACGAATGGAGACAAAATTTATGTTTGCGTATTAATATATAGAAGATTGTTATGGGCATAAGCACCGCTAGCTCTAGAGGGTAAGGCTTTTAATGTCGCCTAGCACTTCCAAGGGCGTTTTGTGCTTAATGTCAAATTGATTAGCACCACGCAAGTGAGCACAGAGAATGCGCTGTGGCATTTCGCCGTCCAGCTCGGAGAAACCGGAAACGTTTGTTTGTTTGTTTTACTAAGATGATAGCGTAAGAAACAGTGTCCCGTGTGGTACCTAGGGTGAAACGATACCATGCAGGTATCGATACTTTTTATATATGTACATAAGGGCGTATCACGAAAAAAGTTGAGTGTGTGTTTTATTTGAACAGTTACAGTTGTCGAAAAAAATTTTTGGGGTACAAATTATTTTTAGGTGCCCGGTAAGAGCTAAATCTTATCTGATGTCCGATTTATTAAATCTTTATGTCGCCGAAAGGATTTGCACAGGACCATACCTACTTAGCCCTTAGAGGTTTTGGCCTCTAATTGATTTATACCATCACTAATTTTGGAAATACTATCTCTAGTTTATTATTTTTATACTATAAATCCGAAGCCCTAAAAAAATTATGAGGACATTAACTTTATTCATAAAAAAAAAGGTTATAATGTTTTTAATAATTGTGTGAAGGCTTGGATTTTTAGTTATTTATTTTTTATTATTTAACCTTTCATGATCCAAATTAACGAAGGTAGGAAAAACTTTTGACTGCCATTCACCTGGGTGTTGCCAGAAGTGATGCTTGTACGTACGGTTCAAATCGCAGCTCACAACGTCCGGATGTTTATATCGTATCCGTATACGTATCCTCTGGGTAGCGGCCAAACACCCGTTTGAGAGCGAGTTAAAATGAGAAGGCGGAAACTTCGCGTGCGCTGCGTTTGGGTCCCGCCACGTTGAAACCCCGTCCAATGAAAAAGAACAAACAGCTTCGGATGAGATCCCCCTATTTTTGATGACGACCACGGCAAACGTATAAAGGACTATGATTGGAGGGTATGCACCTGACGTCTACTACAGTTGCCACTTAAAGGAGCACAAAATCGGTGTTGGATTTGTAGTGGGAGAGAGACTCCGGCGCTGAATAGTGGCGTTCACCACGATGGACGAACGTCTAGTCGAAATCCGAATCAAAGCCAGATTCTGCAACATCTCGCCCATCTAAGCCCCTGCCCCGACGGAATAGAAGGACAAGGCGTCCAAGGATCTCTTCTATGAGAGAACAAATGCGCGATGCCCCTGAAACGATATCAAAATCGTGCATTGGTGATTTCAATGCCAAGGGGGCAAAGAAGGGATCTTTGGCGCCACTTTCGGAAAAACACTCCAAGGGCCAACATCGACTCGAACCACTATCTTGTTGCAGCCATGTTACGCATCCGCCTCTGTGCAAAAAAAAATGTGCGTCCAACAATGCAAAAAAATCTTAACGTCGATAAGTTGCAATCACAACAGACGGAAAATTTATTCACTACTTGACTCTTACACCTGCTCTCTGGGAATACTCTTCAACAAACCGACATACGCGAGCAGTGGAACCATATTTCAGGCTCATTAAGTACCGCCGCCGAAGAAGTAGTCGGATTTCAGCGATCCCTAAAGAACAACTGGTTCGATGAGGAATATCAAGAAGCCGTAGGCAAAAGAGGCGCCACCTAAAGGGCCACACTGCGATCAGGTGCAACGCGAGCCATATGGGACCATTATAGGGAACTGAAGAAGGAAGCGAGACGTATTTGCCGCAATAAGAAGAGAGAGGCCGAAATACATGAGTGCGAAGAGCTTGAGATGGTGGCCGACAGGAAAAACGCCCGAAAATTTTATGAGAGAGTTAGGCGACTTACGGAAGGTTTAAAGACCAGGAGGAACTCCTGTAAGGACAACCATGGTGACCTAGTGACCGATGTCCAGAACGTACTTAAATTATGGAGGGAACACTATTTCACCCCATTGAGTGGCAACAGCACTGAAAGTAGTGGAGAAGACGAACCTGAGCCCCCAGTCGATGACGATAGAGCAGATGTTTCACCGCTTGACTATGACAAGGCACGAATAGCGATTGCGCGGCTGAAAAACAACAAAGCTGCAGGAACTAACGGCCTGCCAACCGAGCTGGTAAGGTGCATGTATCAACTCTTATGCAGAATATGGTCAGATGAACGCATGCCTGGTGAATAGAATTTAGTGTGCTCTGCCCAATCCACAAGAAAAGCGATACCACTATACGCGCCAACTACCACGGGATCAGCCGCCTTAATATAGGTTACAAGGTCTTATAGAGTGTATTGTGCAAAAGACGAACTGATTCGGCCTTATCAGTGTTAATGCTGGTTCCCAAATAAACTAATAGTCTAAGATCCGACAATGCACGACCTTCACCTATCTGTTTAATTAATGAAATAAATTTTGTATGAAATTTAACGTGTTAATAAATCTTTCGCGAATGGGCTGGCTGAAAAAATCCTGGCCGGGACATTTTTAATTACTTTTTCATAAATTAACTTTTTGTTTTAATTTTGCACTCATTTCTTTAATGAACAAATTACATATAAACCAATCGGAAGTTATGACTATAGCATGTGTTAAACAGATGAGTGAAAATTATTGGTACTACCTACCTGTTCATATTTACCTGCCAACCCGATCGATAGGCCAGGAAAAAAATTTACAACCCAACGTTTTCACATTCTGTAAGCTTAATACTTTCGATTGGGTATATAATTTGTTCATTAAACAAATGAGTACAAAATTCAAAAGTAATAATTTTTGAATACTTAATGAAAAAAATCCTGGCCAGCAGTTTTTCAGCCAACCCACTCGCGAAACATTTATTAGCACATACAAAACATTTCATACAAAATTTATTTCGTCCATCAAACGGATAGGTGAAAGTCGTGCCCTTGTCGAATCTTAGACCAGCACCAATAATAATGCCACTCTTTCTAACAAGTGCTACTTTGAACTGAGTAGGCAACTGAGAAGTAAAGTCCTCTTTACACTCTATAAAAGCGCAGTTAGTCAACGACGTAGCGTAAACGTAGGTTGACGTACGTAGCAGCATATACAATTTACTGTTGATAGAGAGAGAGAAGCAACGGCAACGTCACCGCCATGTGGTGGTGAGTTTTCGTTAACACGCGAATCCCATAAGGTAGATCGTGTCTGCGTCAACCTACGTCTACGTTACGTCGTTGACTAACTGCGCTTTAAGTCACTCATCATGCCTGTGCTGGTTTATGGCGCGGAAGCATGGACAATGAAAACATCCGATAAAGCGGTTCTTAGAATTTTCGGCAGAAAGATTCTGCGGAAGATGTACTGGCCTTCACGCGTTGGCTATGGCGAATACCGCAGACGATTTTACGATGAGCTGTATGAGCTTTACAACGACATAGACATAGTGCAGCGAATTAAAATACAGCGGCTGAGGAAGAGGTAGGCTTCCTCTGCATTGGAAAGACCAGGTGGAGAAGGTGACTTGACCTGGCATTTCCAATTGGCGTCAGTTGGCACGGGAGAGAAATGGCTGGCGTGTTGTTTTGGACTCAGCCAAAATCACTTAGACGGTTATAGGGCCAATAAAGAAGAAGATTTGAATTA